TGTTTTTTTCATCTCACTTTTGTGTGGCTTGTCCAAGTTTGGTTAAAGTGTAGGATGTGCTCACTGCTGCCCCTAATGGCTGATTGCAGCTTAGTTAATAAATACTAAAAGGAACCAACAAGACCTTCTGAAGAAAGACAAAAAGATCAATAAATTGGTATGAGATGTATTGATGGAGATTAAGTGCTGCATAAATGTAAACTACATCAAAACATTCCGAAAAGTATCACTTTTTTCTGTACATTTCTCTTACTTTCTTTAGCGGGATCTCTGGGTCCAGTCCACTATACATATAATTGCTGTGAGTCATTAATAATCTATTAATATTGATGCACTTTATTTAAATGAGGGGGTTAACACTCAGCGGACCTCATTAAGACTTGATGGGGTCAAACTCGCCCTGCAGTCCCCCCCACAGTGTGCCTGATTACACTTTTAATATACTGTTCCATTAAGTGGGATTTCTTTCTCACGTAGGCTATTGTCTGAAAATATATGCTTTAATTGTTAATGATACTTTCAAGAAGGTTGTCTGATTTTGTTAGCGTGCATGTGAAAATGGTTAGTTAGTTTCCCAAACAAAGAAAGACAAAGATAACTCAATAACCTTTACTATGCAATAAGGAAAATATCCAACTGTTATTTTGGATGGAAATGACAAAGTCGAGGGATAGCCAAAACGTCCCCTAATTAAATATTTGAAAATTGTTTTAAAAGGTATCATATATTTAAATATTATCCATGTATAAATGAACCACAGGTAGGGACACAAATGTTGGATGACTGAACAAAGAATGTGTGTAGGAAAGGCAGATAAATAATCACATAACAATAGTATATTTTTCTGATCTCTGAGTCATGGTAGTGCATATAAATAAAGACTTAATGCTTACTTTTTTAACGACTGAAATGGGTTTTCCTATCCTATTTCCGATGTAAGCCGCATCAATATATTCACGCACCATGATCTCATAAATAGAAATGATATTGGCGTGTATATGTTTGAGAGAAATACATAGGGATTTACAATAACCTCCAATATAGAGCAAACCAAAATGTATTATTTCGACATTCAACTTAGAGCTCGTACGTGGTGACTTAAAAATAAAATTAACGGTCACAGTCATGATCCAGACATAACCTTTGATACTGGAAAAGTGACAGGTGAGAGAGACAAAAACTCCATAGATGCTGAGTTAGTTACATGCATTGTTAGGATATAATTGCAAACAAATAAAGAGAAGGAGAAGTAGGAGAAGAGAGGTCAAAGTCACCGGATTGTCTAAGCCTTCATGTGACTGGTTCAAGGTAAGCCTGAGCCAGCCCTAATAAGCTTTATCAAAAACCACCCCTGTTTCGGTATAACATCTTCCCTCAGAGTAGTAGGGATCCGGTAGCATACATGTGTGAGCCGTTAGCTGGAATAAAAACAGCCAGCAGGAACTGTGGCATATTTCGAAAAAAAAGACTGCTCAATACTGTCGAATCACTAACTCCTTTTATCTACCTGCCTCTCGCTCCGTAACCCTCCCACTGCAAGGAGCTGAGGCACATTCTGGTTTCGACTGAGAGATTCCAGAGGCAGCAGAGCAGCTCCAGCTGTGCCACAGTAGCATCAGAGGGAGGAACAAAAAGCTCAAGGTCTTCACTGACTTTCATCTCTCTCTGTGCCCTCTGTTTTATCACCGCCTCCACCCCACTACTGTTTTCTCCAGTCAAAGCATCTCTCACACTCTGTCACACAAACCTTTATCTTTATTTCTCTTGTAGTCCTGCATGTTTTCCTCTTCTCTCTTAATCTATTCTTCATTCTGTTCAACTTCTTCCCCCTGTTTCCGTCTCTCCGTCTCTTGCTCACTTCGTGTTTTTTCAGTATTTTAGTATTTCTGACCACTGACAGAAATTGTACTTGTGGTTCAGCAGACCCGGGATGGATATAGTCTGTGCATGTTAAGGTAGAAGTATTTTCCAATTTGGCTGTCCTCATAGTACCGTCGCCACCATATCCAGCGGCCATGTTTCTCCATCGCCTATCCTTTCCATAAATGATTTCTCCCTTACACACTGGTTGCAAGTTTGTCAAATGAAAAAGTATCCCCCAAACATCACCCCCGCAATCACCTAATTAATACCTCAGCCCAAAATAATTACGTTGGCTACATTTGAAATTTGAAAAACGCTCCCTCCGGTTTTATTCTTTATTTTTCATTATTTTTTGAAACTTCATTTAGACATCATAAAAAACATTTGGATGAATACTCGCAAAACAATTCAAACAGTCATTAGCCTTTTTCTCCCTCTGTGACGCTGCAGGTGATCTCAAATTGGTCATTAGAGACCTCAATGTGGAAAAAATGAGTTATACTACGTTCTAAGGCAGTGGCTCTCAACTGGTCAGGCCTCAGGACCCACTTTTTCCTTTGCCAATAAATCGCGAAATTTTGAACCACTCAAATCTATTCAACAAGAAATCGTGCTGTAATATATAATGTACGCCTTTCAGCATTCAGAGGCTACTGACATGGGGGGGTTTGTTAGTCTGTCAACGGTAGTAAACAAGGCTTATGCGTTTTTGTTTTTGGTAATGGTGTCAGAGAAGAAAGACTTGTGCCATTTTCAATTCCAAATTATGAAGGCCAAGTCTTAATTTATAGATTTCAAAGTGCACCTGGAGATTGTTTTTTCGCCACCTACGTTCAGCTTTTCGACACTCTTTTTTTTCTGTTTTCACGGTCATGGCCTTTCTCCATGGACATATTTTCTTGCCAGTCACTTCCTTCACCTTAGTTGGAACAATGGCATCTATAACATTTAACATTTTTGAATTAAAATGACCTACTAGATCATTTACTGAGATGTTAGCAGGGGCAAGTGTGGAAGAAAAATTTTGAGTAAACATTTCCCTAGTATTTTCAGTTAAATATCGCTTTGTGGTTACCTCTTTTGGAAAAAAATTTGTGAACAAAAATAGAGCTCTCAAAGAAAACACAGGAATGATCAGAGAGTGCAACATCAGTCTCCACAACCTGAGAGATATTCAAACCCTTTGATTTAATTAAGTCCAGAGTGTGCCCCTTATTGTGCGTGGGCTCCGTCACATGCTGAGTCAGTCCATAGTTACCAAGAACACAAAACAGTTCGTTAGCCCCTCTGTCCTGGGGGTTGTCAACATGGATATTATAAAATCACCAACAATGACTAGACGGTCAAAGTCAATACACACTATAGACAGCAGTTCAGTAAAGTCATCAAAAAAGCTTGCACAGTATTTGGGTCTATAGATATTTAGGAACAGAGCTCGAGAGGAGCATTTCAGCTGAAGGGCCACATATTCAAAAGAAGCAAAGTTCCCATAAGATGTCTTCCTGCATTAAATGGAATCATTGAACAGAATAGCAACTCCACCTCCTTTCTTAAGCATTCTTTCCTGACTCATAAAACTAAAGTTGGGAGGGGTTGATTCGATAAGAACAGCTGCACTGTTATTTGTTCAATCCAAGTTTCCGTTAAAAACTAAAATCGAGATTGTGCTCATTGAGCCAATGACCTGACATTTAGTAAAGCTAGCTTAAGTTTGTACTCAGTCAGATGGCTGTGGCTGCATGGGCCTGTTTTTCAGGTCTCAGGCTCGAAAATGACATTCCCAGAACAAATGACCATATCTTCCCTTCTAAAAGGGTTAAATTAATAATATTTTTTCTCAAAGTAATGATAAACCTGTGAGTTGGATGTAGAAAAGTCAGAATCAATATAGATGTTTGTTATTTTAAAGAAAATTCAGATTGAACATAGTAAAAAACTGTAAATTATAGTGTCCGTCCAAAAATAATGTTTTACTTATAGTGAAAACTACCCTTGGATGATGGTAAGGTAAACTAAAAGCTTTAGGGATCCAAAGTACAACATATAATAAGTACCCTGTATCGAGATTGATTCAAAACAAGTGACATTTGACCTTTTTAGAGAGGTTTAGAAAAAAAAACTCCACCTCTGAGGTTATTTGGGTGGAAATGGGGGTTTTACCGTTTCTCTGGAACCCGTTGGTTGATTTTGGTGATTGACATCTCTTTCTGACCGTTAGAGCCAATATAATCGAAGGGGAATCTCCCCACTCAAACACATGGTAAAACAAAAAGGTGGGGGCTTCGCTGACGCAGTTTTGCATGAGAGTGAAGCTATAGAGCTATAGCTCTAGCTCTAACATC